TCTGTAAAGCTCAAAAAAAAAAAAAAAAAAAAAAGGTATAACTAGCACACACACTTTCTTTCCTTGGTCAAGAGAGACTGCAGTACCAGCCCCAAAAATATTCACATTTACTTTCCTCCTACTTAGTGGCCTCCTCATCTTTCTGTCCCTTCTGCTAGAAATCTTAGTCACTGCTGTGCACACCTAGAGCCCTATCAAGCAGTACCCTATAAAATGCCAAATATTTGGCCCAACGGACTACCATAGTGTCCAGAATTTCTAGTCATCTTCCAGACACACACACAAAAAGAAAAAAGTAAAGAGTTCCTAGCCAAAAAGTCTAAAAGTGATGTTATGTTACCTCTAGTGATGCCTGCAGGGCAAAGCGGCTGCCACATCTCCCTAGCAGCCACGCATGAATTGGTGACACTCAGACCAGTAGCACCTAAACCCTCAGCTGTGCAAGACTACATCATTTCTTCTTAGCAGGGAGAGCTAAACATCTCAGCTCCCTCCTATCATAGCAGGCCTACGAGGCATGAGCAAGTGATGCAGCCAACATATACATGCATAGCAGGCCTAGAATTTAAAAAAAAAACCAAAAAAAACCCATTGGCTCACTGAGTGTCCACTACAAAGCCCATTCATACAAGTTTGCTGACCCACGCTGTTCCAGGGAGAGGAGCCCAAGGAGCAGGCTGCTTTTACCAAATCAATTCGTGCAGGCTGCTCCAGGTATCTTCCTTCCTAAGGGACCTTCAGATACTAAGACGCTGTGCAGTCTCCAGAAAAAGAGGTAGCTAGAAGCCAGGCCACAAAATGCACAGGTTTTGGTAAACTGTAGGCTTGACAAGTCTGATTTAAATCTTCACTTCCCTTTGAATAGAATAGGGGGAACAAAGAATCAGGAAGAAAGAAAAAAAACTGGGAGGAAAAAAATTAAAAGACACAGTGGGGATTTAAGAAGCCCACTGATATGAAGGGATGTTGTCAACACAGGGATTAAGGACTCACGCAAGCCTCAGCCCACACACCCCCCACCCCAAAGAACAAGAGCAAAATCTGCTCTAGGTTGGAAACTCCCACAAGATTTCTTGATTTCCAGCAACTGGATCCACACACAGATAGCTATGACTCCAAGAGAGCAATGCAGAGATGTATTTAAGAGCCTAGAGGAAAACTGGGGACTGCAGCCCATTACATATTAGAACGTAACACAGCATCTCTCATCAACCAGTAGTACAGGGCAAGCTGGTGTGCTTGGAGCTGTACTGGCTCCACAGCGGATGGTTTCACTGCAGAGTACATGACTAGCACACCTCTAAACCAGCTCACCCACCATTTAGAAGGCTGGGAATAATTACGAAAGAACAAAAGAAAGTAAGGTTTAAAACAAGAGGGGTAGTGAAAAACGTGGACAGAAACATGAACTTCAGTAGAAACCTCGGGATACACAAGCACAAACTCCGTTAGGTACAAAAAAAAAAAAAAAAAAAAAAAAAAAAAAAAAAAAAGAGGTCTTTAAAAGCAGAGGAAGAACAAATGCTTACCTTTCAAAAGGGGTTGGAAAGTTGGAATTTCCTGCAGTTTTATGACATCTGGATCATTGCTGACATTCCGAGAAGACTGTGTTCCTGGGGCTACCACCACAATGTCATCCATTTTTGCTCGTTGCTTGGCTGGCGATGGAGATGCTGGAAGGATGCAGGAGGGAAAGGGAACAAGCAAATAAACAGATTCCAGCAGAATCCAACCCTAAGCGAACGTCGCTATGTTTAACACAATACAGGTACATCTCCTACACCCTAAACACATTACGGAGACTGCTGAGGGGCTGTAAGCTCTCTGCTCACCCTCCCGCCGAAAACGTGTAACGCTGAGCAGAAGTTTTTTTCAAAACCGGGCTGACTTGGACACCCACGGACCACCGCCGCCCTCCTGGTTCCTCTGCCCTGAGCTCCGCACCCTCCTCCCTCCCGCGCCCCGCCAGCGGGACACGGGCCCTCGCCCGGGCTCTGGGGTGCGCCCACCCGCGGGGACCCC